TCACAAAAGAATTGTTTAGAATCCATCTTACGCTTCTTTCACAGTCTCCCTTGCCACCGTAGGGCGTAGATAGATTGCTGTTGCTGGTAAGTTAAGGCACGGTAGATAGAAATTACCTCGGTTCTCAACGCCTTAAGTTATTTTCATAAAAAAGAACAAATAAATGATCAATAAGATGACAGGAATGTAAACATTTTAATCGTAAAGTAGTCCAAATATTGGAATGAGCTTTTGCTTTTCAGCATCCTCCGATTCATCATCTTTATCATTTGAAAATTCGAGGTACATAAAATGTTGTACCTCGAATTTACCTATAGTTGTACCTCGAAAACGCGCTCATGTTAAGTGGGAATATAGTACACGGCAGACACATCAATTTTTGACACTGAACATTTCATCCGTAAATGTTTTAACATAATTTAAAGTTAAAAACAGCGCGAATGGCAGAGTGAAGCAAACAACATCTTTCACCCATTGATATAACATGTAATCTGTGGTGCGCCAGATGCGCCATTATTTGTCAACCGCAGAAGGTGACATGTGACGTAACAGCATCAAGAGCATCTTTTTTCAAGAACTTTTCAAAACAAGTTTCCTATCTTTCTTCCCCCATTTCTCTCAGCTTATTGATTTTATGAGGCAATGGTATGCACCATAAATTCTGTGAAAATAGTTTGATCATTTTCATGCATTCTTAAAAAATCGAGTTCCCAACCCCATTGATGTCTCTGAAGGTACCGCAAGTTTCGTGTTGATCCGTCAAATAGTTTAGAAGATATTACCGTACATTTGAACAGCTTATCGGAATGCCATTGTCCGGTAAGGCATGCATAAAAGCAAACCGTCAACGTTTCGAAGCTCATAACGTTGGCCACGTTCGGTGGCCATATTGAGATAAATAGAAACGAACCTCGAATAGTTGTTTCCGGCTTAGCGGCCGGGTTCGTGGAGCTCCGCGGAGACGGGTGGCACGCCGCGGGCGCCTCTCCGCAACCGGTCAACATCCGGCTCAGTCGTCCTGGTGGCGCGCGCTGCGCAGCGAACCGGGGAGCGCAGTGGGTAGAGACAAATAGAGACGAGCATGGACGTCTGTACCCGGGAGGATATGGATGGCGGTGGCAGGGCCTGCAGTAACGCCGGTGCTGGCCTTGTGTAGTGTGCATTGAAATACATGTGACACGCAAAACGTTGCAATATGTGTGATGCAAATTTTTCTTTTTCAGCTTTAAATGTACATACAGGCAGTTGCTTCTGTACACGAACCCCAACTCTAGCCGTCTGTCCTGTCCAGTAACAACCGATAACATTGATATCGACTGCCGGTCCCTGTACAAGAGCAGCTGAGGTTTTCTGTGCGTGCCCTCTGACAGCTTATCGTTGTTCCCTGTGAGGGTGCTGGGACAATTTACTCAGGGTCGCTGTACAGTAGCAACTGCGGGTCCCCGTACCATAATGATCAGAGCAAGACGAGAAATGCATTTAGCTCTTTTCTTCGGATTAACATAATGCTGATTTCATGTCATTGTATCGGTTAGAACTCGAAAGCTTATCAATATATCAATATCAATATATATATATATATATATATATATATATATATATATATATATATATATATATATATATATATATATATATATATATATATATATATATATATATATATATATATATATATATATATATATATATATATATATATATGTTACAGGGAGTATGCGATTTCAGTTAGTTTGCAACGACCCTAGGGTGGTTGTAACCTCCCTGAACGAGCAGTTTGTTTGCAACGACCCTAGGGACGTTACAAAATAACTGCTCGTTCCGGGACGTTGTAACGAAACTAGGGTCGTTGCAACCTCCCTAGTTAGTATGCAACGAACCTAGGGTTGTTACAAAATAACTAGGGAGTTTAAGAAATCATCGAGTCTGGTTTCACAGGGGGCACATGGGGGGGGGGGGGTGGTTGCCACTCCCTCAGGTAGTCTTTCTGCTCTGCACTCAACATTTTTAGAGCTAGAAGCCTGATTTTTGGTATAACTGCTCCTCTATCCTTTCTTGATGTTCACTAAAAATTTCAAGTTTTTGTGGTTTGTGGTTTCGGAGATATGACCTTGTTTTTCAGGTCATGTCATGACCCAAATGGCCAATTCTCAACTTCTTGCGTTGGCTATGGGCCTTGTGAGCTTTTGACACCTTGATTTCGGCCTTTTTTTGCCAGTCTTACCTCCCACCTATCATGGAACATGTTTTTCGACGATGTACAGATGTCAAGGTCAGGGTCAAGGTCAACCTAGGTCATCTAAAATAATTGCGTTTTAGGCAAGCTGAATTTACTTTTCGTGAAGTGTTTTGACTGCATTCTTGGTGAAAGCTTCTCAGATCATGATTTCATGTAATATGGACATTGGACACATAAACAACCGGTACACACATCAGTATACACACAGACACACACAGACATACAAACACATATCATTGACCTTGACCTAACTTGACCTGAAATGACCTCAGCAGCAAAAATCTGGTCGGGTAGTGTGACAAAGAGCGCACTTATACAACGGTGACCCAAAACAGCAACATTTTTTAGCTTGAACTGACCTGGAAGGTCAATAACTGACCTGAAAAGGTAAAACTGGGTATCATTGGATTCGTTTCTTCCAAAAAATCTTTTTGGTCTTTACCGCGAAGCTCTATCTCCAACAGGAACGAAATGGCGCGGGGGGGGTAGCAACCCCCCATGTGCGTTCTAGGATGGGAAAATGGCATGTGCGGGCGAGGGTTAACCCGCGCGGGGCTGGGGGGGTAAATTTTACCCACCCTCGCGAATTTTTGCAATAACTCAAAAACGGCGGCGCCCAGCGCCGCCAAACTTTCAGGACCTTTTCTTACATCAATCAATTTGACACGTTCCCTGAAAATTTGAGCGAAATCCGTCGGAAATTTTTTGAGAAATTGACGTTTTAGTGACGTCATGTTCGCCATTTTCGCCTCAAAAACGGCAAAATTTCAAACGCCGTTAACATCTTCATTTTTAAAGGAACCAAGACTTAATAAAAAAAGGTTATACGTAATTCTACTTTGTCTATCAAATGGCTATCTCGGTTTTTTGAAAATTTTGGATTTTGGCTAAACTTTTTTCAAAAAACTTACTTTTTTGGAAAAATAATTATAAAATCCAAAATTTTAAGTATATCGAAAAAAAACGGAATATATGTCAGAGATGTGGTCTATGTGCGCCTACATACCAATTTTTAGAAGAATCGGCTCAAAAATGTGGGAGTTATTAAAAATTTCATGACGTCTAGACACACAAAAATTTTGAAAAGTGCATTTTTGGGACGTTCTAGACCTCGTACGGAAACAACAATAGCACCATTCGATTCGCCGTGAAAAACTGCATCAGATACACCTTTTTAGGCCTTAACAACCAACTTCAAAATTTGACCTGACCTTGACCTGACCTCGACCTGCAATTCATCCAGATGTGGTCCATATCACCTATTGAGTGTGCCTATTGAATTCTATGAATAAAATGACCCATAAAACATGTGTCGCACATGCCCTTTTCTATATTTTGTTTTTGGTGACCTGACCTGACCTGACCTGACCTTGACTTCTGAATGATATTGTATGCAGCGAATATTGTCTTGGTAGCCTAAGAACACGTTTTGGGCAATCAGTCTCAGTCCATTCTTCGGCAACTACGGTGCAAGGCCGATACTGTAGAAACTTGCAATTTGTACCCTTGACCTGACCTTGACCTTGACCTCAAGGCTCAAACTTTAAATTAAGTACATGTTTTTAGTTGTGCGGGATGAGATCTTTCGATTGGCGTTTGAATTTTCCAAATCGGACCATTAGTTCGGGAGATAACGGGGGGGGGGGGGGTAAAATTTACCCAACCCCAGCCCCGCGCGTTCGGCTGGAGACCCCAGCTCCGCGCGGGTTAACTCTCGCCCTTATTGGTGTTTTGCTAGCTGCAAACGCACATGGCGGGGCTAGGTTATTGGTTGACTTTCCAGGTCAGGTCAGTGACTCAGAAGTCGGGAAAATCGGGACCTGTTAAAACTTTGGAGTGTTAGCTTGTTACGAGGTTTTTCGGTGCGCTGATCACGAATTTCATGTTAGCTTTGATCACCGATGATGTCTTGATGTTTTTGGGTCAGGTCGGGTCAGGTCAGGTCAACCAGTAGGCGTCTTGCTAGCTGTCCATAATAGGTGTCAACCACCACTGACAGCCTCGTGACATGGTACAAAGGCGCCAGAATTACTTCTTAAATGTTCAAATGGGTGCTAAATTCGAAATCAGCTCCAAAAACTAGCCTAAAGAATATATGAACCCAGAAGAAGTGAACTAAGATCATCAAAGGTCAATGACCTTGACCTGACCTTCACGTGACCTTGACACCCACTATAATGCATGGGACCATCATCATTTCACATGTTTGAACGTTAACAATCACAAAAAGACTGGAAACGAGCGGATAATAACCGTTTTTACGAAGGGCTTCCTGGCAAATGCCCATCTAATTTGAACAAATCTGCACCAAATGTGCACCTAATCTGCACAAAATGTGTACTAGATGGCCGTCGTGAAATACTCCTGAGCTGAATGTTCAAATTGTGTTCTCCTTTTCTTTTTAAATGAACTATATTGAACAAGATTTTCAATGGACAAGATTGCTGACGGCCCTCATGTGAAACGAGACTCGATGAATTCTTAAACTCCCTAGTTATTTTGTAACAACCCTAGGTTCGTGGCATACTAACTAGGGAGGTTGCAACGACCCTAGTTTCGTTACAACGTCCCGGAACGAGCAGTTATTTTGTAACGTCCCTAGGGTCGTTGCAAACAAACTGCTCGTTCAGGGAGGTTACAACCACCCTAGGGTCGTTGCAAACTAACTGAAATCGCATACTCCCTGTAACATATATATATATATATATATATATATATATATATATATATATATATATATATATTGTCTCTGAGCAGACGTCTCACAATGCACCTGCAGGACGGAGCCCCCAAGAAACACTACACAGAACATCACAACACCGCACTCACACGTGACGATCTCGTGACCAACACATCCATCCTAGCACACTGTCAGGATCGTAGACGGCTCGTCACACTTGAAACAGTGTACATTCGCGACAAAAAGCCAATCATCAACATTCAGACAAAGCAGAACACATCTCTATCACTGTACGACAAAGTACTCGCGGCGGGTTGACTGATTTATCTGTCATATGCGCGTACGTATCTCGCTATGGTGTTTTTGATGTGACCTTCCTTCGCGGAGGATGAACGAATGTGTTTAGGGTTATAGCTCATGTACGAAAACAAAAGTGTGTTATTTTGTTTTGAATGCTGTGACTCATCGACTGAATAGTTTTAGTATCATATCCGTAATATTTGTTCCAAAAATGTAATTGAACCCATTTATCTCAAAGTATGACTTCTAAAACTGTGTGACTGTAATTTTCTTGAAAATGATCTCTGATAGATCGAAACGTCGAACAACAATATAGCTATGATATTTTGTATTTATGACATCTTTTGGTAATATTTTACATTCTCACGAACCCGAACCTCGACAGTGCATTCGCCGCCTCGAAAGTCTTAATAAGAAGAAGATAAGTGCCCATTATGCTGTTGTGTTTAACAAAACTTGCATAAAAGAGAACCTGCTTCCGAACTATTCGAATCTACGATTACACGATCGAGCAGTACAGCAGGAGGACTTTGTCTATAAGTTTAGACAGAGCTTGACGGGTGAACAGCTTAAAGCCAAAGAAGATCTTATTAATGACCTTGAGGTAAAGATCGAGGAAGAGAAGAAAAGATATGACACGTTCGTAATAAGCCAGGACTTACGAAAGAAGACAGATGAACTTTTGGACAACATCTTGATTGAATATGAACAAGTAGTGAAAACACGCATCCTTAAGAAGCTATCTCATCTCTACAAAGGCCCTATCGCTCTACCTGGTAACCCTGCGGGCTTCATCAATCTTTCCAGCGTCCAACTGACTTCTGATCAAGAAAAGTTCCTGAACCTAGGGTTGAATTGCCATTTTTACCCAAAGTTTGACCCCCACAAGAAGAAGACTGAAATAGCTCTACTCTTCGATGACCTCTGCAAACTGCATGATAAAGGTCAGATCACTCTTAAACCAGAAATTCAACCTCAACTCCAAGCCGAAGCGGCCAAGAGACGGATTAAGCCACAACACAGTGTTCTGACTCCAAATCTAAGAAAAGCCGCACAAGAGCTGCGCAATAATGATGACATTGTGATTAGACGTGCTGATAAGAGTTCGATCTTTGTGATTCTCGATAAGGAGGACTACTACAGCAAAGTGCGCTCTGTGCTACAAGACACTGCTAAGTTTAAGCGCATCACTAGAGACACTACCGCCGCGCTAAAGACACGGGTTAACAAACTGGTCGATGCTGCCAACGCTGTGGTTGATGGGGTTCACTTGCAAAAAGTCACAGGTGAGTGTAGCCCCGGTTACTTGTATGGGAATGTAAAGACGCACAAGCCAGGCCAGCCTATTCGCCCTATCATATCCCAGATCCCGACTCCCACTTACCAGATAGCTAAACAGCTGAATGCGATTATCTCGCCGTATATTCCGTCTGAGCACTCTGTTCAATCGACCGATGAATTTGTCGACATTCTTAGGTCCCAGAAACCAAAAGGTTCTCTAGCCTCTCTAGATGTGGAGAGTCTGTTCACTAATGTACCTGTTCAGCAGACTATTGAGATCATTCTTGAGTATGTCTACAATCATGAGACCCTTCCACCACCGAGACTACCCAAACGCATCCTGGAGCAGTTGCTGCTATCGTGCACAACGGAGGCGCCGTTCAGGTGCCCTGAAGGCAAACTCTATGTACAGGTGGACGGGGTCGCAATGGGATCCCCACTAGGCGTTCTGTTTGCCCAAGCCTACATGTCCTATGTCGAAAGGAAAGTGCTGCTCTGTGATGATGTCAAACCGTTCATGTACTATCGTTATGTAGATGACATTTTTGTTGACGTCGAAAATGCTGAAAAGTTAGACCTGCTGCGCATGAAACTAGACCAGGAATCAGTTTTAAATTTCACAGTTGACCATAGCGTAGGACAGAAGCTGCCATTTTTGGACGTCATGATTGATTGCAGCAGTGGTGAATTCGTCACAGATGTGTATCGGAAGCCAACTGACCTCGGCAGGTGCATGAATGGGGAGGGTGACATCACTGACTCGTACAAATCAGGTGTCATAAGGGCGTACATTAGACGGGCCATGAAACACTGCTCGACTTGGGATCTACTTCACACTGAACTTGAGAGGGTTCGTAAGATCCTAGTAGATAATGGGTACAGCAATTCCATGTTTGACGACGCTGTAAAAAACATGCTTGAGAACCATGTGACAAACAAGGAGCCAAAGACAAAGAAAAACGAGCTAAAAGTGTACTACCGCAGCACGATGTCTCCAACATGGAAGACGGATGAGCAGGTGATCCGCGGTATTGTTCGCCGTAACTGCCAACCTACGGATGGGGAACAGCGACTGGTAGTTCAGGTCTACTACACTAGCCCCAAGACATCCTCACTGGTGATGCAAAACAATCCCACACGCAGCACGGCAACACTCAAGCAGACCAATGTAGTATACCAGTTTAAATGTACAGCCGGGGACTGCGCGACCCGCGAAGTATACTACATTGGTCACACCACAACGTCTCTGAGCAGACGTCTCACAATGCACCTGCAGGACGGAGCCCCCAACACTGAGAAAACAGTGTCCCGATTTTCGGGCTCAGAGACCAGTTTTCGGGCTAATGTACCATATTCAAAACAGACAGCACATTTCGAGAATACTTTCTGAGCTAGCGCCACATGGGCTCATACGATCCCTTAAATCGGTATCATTGATCGCAGAAACAGAGCTCAGTCAGTACCCATTATCGGTGTCAAGCTCTAAAACTAGTCTCACTATGATACCAGTTTTCAGTCTGATCCCCATTTTCGAGCTCACCTGATTCCAGTTTGAGGGCTCAAATTGTGTGGTGAAGCCAATATTAGGGCTCACGTCATCGCTTTTCGGGGCTTTGGTAAAAGCTGGATTGCGTCAGCTGGCTGGCCAGCTGGCGACGCACGAAAGGTATTTAATTTTAGATATACCTAAGCGCGGTAGTAGGATGGACATAAATATTTCAAATGGCTTTAAATGAAAAATTGATTGGTAAATATTCATTCTTTTATATCTAGCATTGATATGTAAGAAGCTCTGCTAGCGCCACCATACGGCGCCAGCTGGCAAAAAATCCAGTTAATACCAGAGCCCGCTTTTCGTCCGATGCAGCCCCTCCTCCCCCCTCCCCCGTGTCCAGCAGCTGCGAATAAGACGAAGCCGCGGACAAACTTTTTTTTTTGCTCGGCCAGCCTAGCGCCAGTCTCGAGCGCTGGGACAGTTAACCGGCAATTTTGGCCGGGATGCAAAAGTTACGTTAAACCGGTTTATGTTAACCCGGGAGCAAATAACAACGTGGGAGCCTATCTTAGGTGTGGCAAAGCTAACGGATTACTTACTTGTTGCCGAGGTGCCCAAAGAAGGTACTGGAACCGAAAACACAACATTGGTTCATGTATTTATTAACATTCATACACACAGTCATACTTGTGCAAGGTGTCAGTGTTCGGTTGTGGGGTGTAATAGCCAGGGAAAAAGTTCTATGAACTGAAAAACCCGGCGCCTATTACTTCGCAACATGGTTGTGTATTCAACATGAACTGCAAGGAGTGCAGACGACATTGCCTGTGCTAACTTAACGTCTCACGGGCAGCGCCGCGCTCTGACACCTTGGTCCCAGAAGCGGCGGCGTTTCTGACCGCAAATCGCCGGAGAGCCGGTCGACGCCGTTGAGGGGACTGAGCAGGCCGCTGCCAGCTCCACCTTCACGTCCGCGCGGCGCAGCTCGGTGTGCGGCGGCGGCTCATCGCGCGGGCCGCACCCGTCCGTCCGCTGCACGAGCCGCTTTTCGATCCGACAGCGCAACACCGGCACGCCATTATGCTGGCTGAGCGGCGGCAGCGGCACGTAGGCAACAAAACAGTAGAAATCGATGGGCCTGGATCGGCGTTGCCAGCAACGCCGGCAGCGGCGCGGTGGGAGGCGCCAGTGCCGCCGTCGGGGACGTGTGCCCTTCGCTGCGCTCATTCGAGTTGGCCGGCCGGCCGCGCGGCGTAGTCCTTTTGACACGGTGCGAGAAGAGCCGGATGAAGGTGGACTTTTTATTGGCGTTGCTGGTGCTCACGCCGCCGGCGTCCAGTTTGGGCGGCAAGTCCGAGTACCAGGAGTCGGACAAGTCCCGCGCGAACGCCGCCAGCCGGTCGTCGTCACTGCTGGCGGCGGCCCGCCGACGGCGCTGCCTCAGAATCGGACGAGTCGGTGGTACTGAGCACCTCGCGGGACGGGTAGCTGGGAGTGGGCCGGCCGCGGCCCCTGCCAGGCCGCGCCACCTTCACCGGCGCAGCCGCCTTCAAACTGCCCTTGCTGGGCGGCGGGTTGGTCGGCGGAGGCGGCAGCGGTGCCTCGACGTCAGTCCGAGTCGCTGTCACTGGGCGGCCGCCGCGGAGACGGCTTCTGTTTGACCCGCAGCCGGCCTGGGCCGGCTCGGCGCCCTCGGCCGGCGGCGCGCGCCGTTTCGAGCGTTTCACCTTTTCACTGTTACTCTCGCCTGGTCCTCAGCGTCGAGCGGCTCGGCGCTGTTCGGTTTCATGTGGCCCATGCTGCTGGGAAACTCGGGTGGGGACAGCTTTCTGACTGGAGTGCCGTCGAAGATGGAGGAGACGGGGGTGCTCGCAGAGTCCTTGCCCAATGCCCATGATAGAGCCGAGGCTCCACTGGACGCCCAGCTTAATCGGGCTATCGCCGCCCTCCTTCTATGGTGGATTCTTCGGCCCCCTACAGCCACTAGGGCCATCATATACTCCCAGATGGCGGCACCTAGGGGATGAGGGTGGGGTGTCTGGGCCACTTGTCCACCTTGTGGCGTCGCCAGCGACGCCTGCGAGTCGGAGCAAATGATTATGGGGTCTTCCTCGAAGGACGGGTGCTTCAGGAGATGTTGCTTTGCCGTTTTGGGCGCCACCATCTCAGATCGGTAAATGGAGCAAATCCTCCCCGCCGCCTCCCGCAGTACCAATGTTGTACTGTCTGGGTGCTCGGTGAGGACCCCAGCGCCGCCTTCCTATTACTCCCCCGGTCGCAGACCCGTCGACCCAGGCCCACGTCGCACGCTGGGGGAGCGCTCCCAGTCACGCCTCCGCAGCACTCCTCCTCGCTGTCGCGGACGCCACACCGCTCCCCCGCGCTCTCTCCAGCCGGTCACTGACTTCAGTCACGGTTGGGGGGGGGGGGGCTTCCGCCACGACGCGGCGGGTCCTCCGACGGGAGGGAGAGCGCCTTCGGCAGTAGGCGCGATGCCAGCGCATCCCTCCTCATCTCTCCATCGGCACGACGCCCGCCTCGGCCCTCACGGCGAGTCTTGGAGCATGGAAATCGGGCAGCCAGTGATGACTCATGCCACCATCAGCATCTCCGCCTCCAGGACGCCAAGATGTGTGGCCGCAGCCGCAGGCAGCCACGCCGACCCCGCTGCCCGCATGCCCAAGTAGTCTCGAATCGCTGACACCTCTCCTGAAACAAGAGTGGTGTCGTAAACTTAAACCCCTTGCTGGAGCCCGCCAGCCGCGACAACACCGCCACACCAATTTTTGTGACCCCGGAACTTCCGTCCCGAGCCTTATTTCACGGCACGATGCTACAGTGCGCTACACGTATTGTGGTATTCAGCTTCCATGGAAACATCAACTACTTAATTTGGACGCTCAAACATGGGAGTCAGGAGTGGTTAAGGCCCAGAGCGTTCTGTCTGGTTTATAAAACCTTGGCCAGCAGATGTAAACGTGCTTTTTGTATGAGTGGCTTAATTTTGACGCAAAAGGGCACTAACCTTCGGCGCAAATAATGCAGAAATTTCAGCGCAAATTGCAAAATAGCTTGCGCCGAACTTCGGCGCATGACGGCTTCACGGGCGTCCGGCGTACCATATGGATGTTTTCCAGTTTGGGCTGCAGGTTTTAGCTCTAGGTTTTAGACTGTAGGTTTTGGGCTGGGTTGGGCTGGGCTGGGCTGGGCTGGGCTGGGCTGGGTTGGGCTGGGCTGGGCTGGTTGGGGTGGTTGGGTTGGGTTGGATTAGGTTAGGTAAGTTTAGGTTAGTTTAGTTTAGGATAGATATGAATACCTATTTTTTGTAAGTTGAATTATTTTTTTTCATTTTGTAGCATCATATGCCTTCCATCTTTGAACTGCCATATTCAAGCACCAGAATAAGTATGGACTTGAACCTTTTCCAGTCTGGATGCCTGTATGGAAGTTGTGCAAAATCATGCAGTTGAAGGTATTGTAACCACAAATAAGAGCTCATGACTCAAGTCT